TGTCAGCCACCACTGCCACCACCTGTCTCAGTATTAGTTTTGAAGACTGTACAGTAACATGTGAGTACACAAAAGAACAGTAAGCCCAGTATTTCACTATCATCTATGCCAGGTAGTATTTCAACCTGTCCTCATCCGTCTGTCCATCTGTCTGTCTATCTGTCTATCTTTAGATAATGTGTCCTGTATCTCAAGCTGGCCTCAAAATCCCTACATAGTCTAGAATGACCATAAACTTTGGAAGGATTTGGGTTGGTTGATTGTATATTGTGTTGTATTTTGTTTTCCTTGGAGACAAACTCTCTCAGTGCAGCCCAGGCCAGCTGCTACCTTGCCATCCCCTTGTCTTAGCCTCCTGAGTGCTGGGATTACAGGGGTTTACCCAGTGTATTCTACACAGGATCAAATCCAAGAGCTTGGTACATGCTAAGCAAACACTAAATAACTGAGCTGCAACCCTGGCCTTGATTTTTTTTTAAAATAGATTTTTTTTTTAATGTGATGAAGAAAAGATGAATTCAGGAAGAAAGTAAAGAGACCAAGAGCATGGGCGTAGTTTTTCTCTAAGACAGTCACTTCATTCTTTTTTAATTTATATTGTTTGTTTACACACATGTAAGTGCATGATGTGTTTGGGTGTTCGGAGCACAGTGTGCATTTAGAGTTTAGAGGATAATTTTATGGGGTTGGTTTCCTCCTTCTCTGTGGAGAGCCGCACGGTGCAGCGCCTTAAAGATGGCGCTGGTTTCCGCCTTCACCCGGCCTGATGGCGGGACTCTCTGTGCCTTATTTGGCTCAGGCTGATGACCTGGCTTGGTTTCCGCAGATGTGTGCCTATAGGTATTTGCCATGTGGCATTCCTGAGGTCTGCACCGATGAAGTATTTAGCCTGTGGGCAGGGGCTCCCTGGGGTCAGAAGATTGTTAGAAGGGTCCTGAATAAACTGTAGAAGAAGAGCTGGTGTCGCGTCGCGTCTTCCTTGCAGGACGAGGGGGAATGCATCACTTCTCCTTTTACCTTATTTTGAAGTAGCATTTTGGCTTTTGTATGTGTGTTTGTGAGCTCAGAGACCACATGTGGCTACCAGAGAACAACTTAGAGATTTGCTCCTTCTTTCCACCATGTGGTTCTGTGGCAAGAACTCAGGGTACCATGGTTGGCCTCCAGCACCTTGATCCATTATGTCATCTTGCTGGCTCTCCTCTATCTCTGCGTGCTTTGTTGAGCTCACAACGACTTGAAACTCCAGCTCCAGGGGGGATCTGACACCTCTGGCTTCCCTAAGCACCTGCACTAATGTTCACTTTCCTACATGTAGACACACACATAATTAAAAATTATAAAAATAGATCAAAAAAGATTTTTTTCCTCATCCACAGGAATCCTAAGTCCCTTACACCCGTGTCTGCTTTCTAAACCCAAGCTCGTGACCTAACCTGTGAGACAAATGGTGAATTCTGCTTATTGTTGAGCTACGTTAAGGCACTTTGGTTGGATGTCAGTGAATAGCATCAGAATACCAGGCCAGTGACACCTACAAGGACTTGGAAGGATGCAAAGGGTCCTTGAGCTCCTGGGAGGCAGGCACTGCCATTGACCTTCTCCATCTATTTTCTTCTCTGGCCAATGGACTTCACAGCCCTAAAAAGCTTGTGGCATAAGCGTACCTGTCACATTTGCTCGGATTTCATGGAAGACCCAGTGACCACTAGGTGTGGGCACAACTTCTGTCATGCCTGCTTCAGTTTGTTCTGGAATGATCTAAAAGATATCTTCCCCTGCCCCGTCTGTCAGATTCACTTTCCACAGAGAAGCTTCAGCAAGAACCACCAGTTCCATAACATGACTGAAATGATTAGGCTCCCGCAGAAGAGACAGAGCAAGAGGAAGAGGCAGGAAGAACACACAGTGTGTCAGAAGCACGATCAGCCTCTGGTCTTGTTCTGCGTGAAGGATCGGGATGTCTTATGTACCCAGTGTAGTCTCTCTGTCGAACACCAGGGTCATTACACCTGCTCCATTAAGAAAGCCGGCTCGTATCACAGGAAACATCTAGAGTGCATCACTGAAACCTTTAATTGCAAAGTGAAACAAGTCACAAAACAGCTAGCTCTGCAGCACAGAAGAGTTCTTGAACTGAGGGAGGAGACTGAATGTAAAAAAGAGAGAGATAAGTCATC